TTCAGTTTTTTGATGTTATCATAAACAGTACTGAGCGCAATACCGGTTTGTGTATGGATTTGTTTGGCATTTCGAATACCATTATTCCACAATTGTAATATAGTCTGACGCAGTGTTTCTTCTTTTGAAAGAGGCATTGTACACGAAGTTATCTTAAAATTTGCTGTAATAACGACACTGTTAAATACGTTAAATTTTAGCTTGAAACGCAAGCTTTGTTTTGTATTTTACGCGTTATAAATTGCATGCGTACACAGCGCGCTAGGCGCGTTTATGTTACTATTACGTGTAAAAAATTCCGAATAATTTTGTAACACACTGTATATCCAATTAAGTTCCTGGCAAATGTGTAATATTACTGAATTGCGTTTACAACATCATGTATCGATGGCTGCAAGAGAAATCCCTTGTCGACATGCTGCACGCGCTGGATAGCTGATTTGTTTCCGGGTTTACGTTATTATTATGTCGTTTATTGAGTTGCATGAGAATCTAATTATTGCATACTTTGGGTATTGCATAATCGAAGTAATGAATTCAATTATAATAAACAGACATCATTGGAAACCGGGCGCAAACTTTTGTCATTGGCATTCGTTGTGACATTGTTTAACGTGTTGTAAACTACAATGAATATGCCTCTTGTACGGTTTGGGAAGACTACGAATGGAGTGTAAAATCTTGACATAGCGATAGAACAAGGTATTGACCAGACTAGCTTTCATACATTTGGTAATGGTTCCGATATGACACAAGCTCTAAACCAACATATGACAACAGTACTATTACTATTACTATAGGAAAATGTTAGGAGTACATTTCTGTAATATTGATATGAGATAAACTGCCATCTATCCATTCTTCATAATCGAGTGGTAAATACTGGCCAATTCTCATCGTAGTTAGAAGCTCACGCATATTATATGTACTTGGTAACTTACCAATAAAAAATAGAGAAACAGTGATATTAGAATCTCATATGCTATTAAGATGCGTCAGTGACAATCTAAACAATGCTCATCGAACCCAATCTCTGATAATTAAAGGTGGATGCCAACCCCTTTTGCAACATTTTAGCTGTTGAACACTTAATTTTGTGAGCATTAATATCATATAATAGGAAGACTGGTGTATTGATGTCTGAAAGAATAATAAAATATAACCACACATCCATTTTAATTTAGACAAAGAGAGCACCAATTGGCTTATTATTATTATTATTATATTAAAAGTGGGGGTTACTGCTTCATAAAATTTCTTGGCACCCCCAAAGTCCATGGAATTGACTGCATTGGTTTACAAAGACTTTGTAATATGGAGAACTTGCATCACTCTCAATGTGAGCTAACTTGTTTGCCAATACCGCCAATCGATCATTGACTTTTTAAAAAACAAAAACTGTATTATGACTTATTCCCTTGAGATCTTGCAATGGAATGCAAGGGTCAATCGGAGAACAAAATACACATTATACGCATAACGATAAACATTACATAAAATACGACCTTCAAAGCCCAATAAGAATGAACACAAAAGGTATTATTCTGACGACCGACAGCAAGTGTGCATAACACCGGCCGAGTGCCAAGAATAACTTTGTCAAGTGATTACGTTAATCAAATGTGATACCAAATTATTTTCACATGCATAGTAATAGGTATTTTTGTCGTACTGAAATCATATTCCCCCGCAAATGTCGTCCATCCGGCCATGTGTTTTGGTCATTGCTCAAATATGAAGATGATTTTAGAAAATGTTTCAACAGTTTGGCCCCACACATTGTTGAGCGAAGTAATCTGTAGTAGAAGTCGATCGAAAGATACACACTGATTATCGATTACACCGGGTGAGAACTTGTTCATCAATGATGAAACCAATAATAAAACCACGTAACGATCTGATATATCATTGTTTTAGTGTGTGTTCAATGAGGTCGCTATGAACAAACCACACATTCGATCACAGCGAGTGTTACAAATAAACTCAACGAACAGTTACTAAATTGTTCCGTTGTACAGAAAAAATAAACACTCAAGACATTGTGTTTCCGAACGATCAATATCATCCATTATCCGAAAGCATGGAATAATCAAGATTTATACAACAAACAATATTAGGAAATTCAAACCCCAAAGCAGCTTAACATAAGTGTATGTTGAAATTGACGCAGGGGGGTTTCATACACTTGTACATGCATTGATTTTAAATAGACCAATAATCAGGCTTTATTCAGAAATCTAAATAGGTTAACAAAAGTAGCCGAACTTCGAACAAGCCTTTTTCCAATGTCATTCATCTAGAGAAGTAATGCAAAAAGGAAAGAAAGCCTTCAAAGTAATTACGACAATACAACTTTGGTGGTAAACAACCGTAATTGCCAAGAATTTCTGTGTTGCGATCATTTGGAAATATACAATATCCGGTGACTCAAATAACTGTTAATTCATTATGAGTTATTACCTAAACAAAGTTCGCAAAATTAATTGAATCCGGCACAGATATTACAATTTCTGCTGCACCCCCGTGTGACATGATTAGATTGAAACCGTTCCAATCGATCGAACAACGAGGAATGAAAACATTTGATCTCCGACATTCGGCCGTTACACAGTTACCAATGATAAACACTTAAAGTTACCAGGAATGGCCTCAAAGCTATTTGTATTAGTAATGACAAAAGTGGCTAGGGTTACCCAGCCCCGTTCTCCTTTTTCGTAACAAGAATTCTCGGCCTTCGGCAAATGGAAACAATTCATGGAATTTTTTTACCATACTATTTCTATATTTATTTTCATTCGTGATATATCTGATATGGTACGCAGAAGCTACAGTGGTCTAAAAGACTAATTCCCGTTTATTAACCCAACCTCTTAATATAAGACAAAAATTACACAACCAATTGGAATCTTACAAGGCTGAATCAAACTAAGGGTACGACAAAAGCAGAGGAATGATTTCATTGTCATATTTGTCACAACTGCCAGCAACGCAGAACCCTGTCGCAACATTCTGTACTAGTGTCAGTAAAGACTTGGCTGCATTAGAATCGACTATGGGTACCAAATATGTATTGCAATCGCTGGCTGACGCTCCAGCGCCAGTGGCAGCATCATACGCCGCCTGACCGAATGCTTTAATGTATGGTCCACTCCCGGTGGCATTGTATGCAAGTTCAAAATTAATGGTACCAATAATTCGCGCCTTGACAATATCGAGATGATGACAGATCGAAGGTGGGTTGCCACAAATATAGTCCATAGCAACGCAGTCGCTAGGTTTCCAGGGAACGCCTTTTGGTGGTTGTGTTACACGTTTCGGATGATTGCAATCGCCCTTGAATTTAGGTTGTTGATTGAATATAGCATCGTATGCGAAGCTTTGTAAGCTTTCAAAGAATTTGGCTTTTATAGTATCGGCTGTTGTTCCAATGGCAGTAGTAATGGCCGTGGCAATACTGCCACCGAATTTAGTCGTATCGACGCCATTGAGAGCGTTACTGACAACATCTGTTCTAAAGTTGTCAAATAATGGTTCGAGTTCCTGCCTGTACTTGTCCGAGAATGCCCCCGAGACACCCAGTGCGCAAGGTTCTTCGCATGCCTTGGTTGAAGATAGGAGGAGTGAGGCTCCGATGAAGATGATGCTAATGATGATGGTAGTCAACTTCATTTTTGTTGATCGACTTGGATCTGATGAAGTATATACGATTTACGGATGTAATGAAAGGTAATATAAACTAGTGATACACTCGACTTGAGATGATGGAGGTTCCTGCCTACACTAGTTATATGTGTGAATTAAGGAATAGGGGGTAACGAGCTGCTCTTTAAAGAATGAGGGAAAGCAGACGTTAAAACCGGTATAGATGTAAAAGATGAGGGGAGGGGTACGGCGGGGGCGTTTGCAATGAGGCAATTGATGCCGATTGAGTGCCATTTATATCTTAATATTCTACTACGGCACAATTTCTCCAAGTATGACAAGTATATTTGTGAGACATGTGTATACCCGACATTGTGGATCTATTTCGGATTTCACTATATTAATATGCGCCTAAATAGGCTTGTACACAAATTGAAGTTTTATTAATATTGTTATTAATATTAAAGGAATTGACCAATCAAACTAAAGGATGATTCATGATGACGACACCACTGTATATATTATGACGGCGCAGATGTCATCATGACTATAATAAACGCAGTCAACTCCCAATAACAGGGAATCATCCGACAGGACAGGTAAAAATTATTTGTTATCTGTAATCCATCTTTTCCCAACCAAAAATAATTGTATTACTATTACTGGAACTCCTCGTGTGAGATTTGCTATGTATGGAGATCCGATTACCTGCTTTTATTCTAGACAATCGATCGAAGGATTCCTTGTATCCACAGGCGAACAATACAAATTCTCGTTTCATGTGTGCAACTAATTCGTTGTCGAAACAACTCACTGTTACAACTCTGTATGCACTTTTGACTTGCCATTATGAATGAACCATTCTTCATACTGTTTATCATTAACTTCTATTAAAATGATGTGATATTCCCCATCAAAAAAACTGGTTCAGGACTTGATTAAAAATTCCATTTTACACCAACAGAATTTCTGTCTCGAGAAATATTATATCTCCATATATTATGTAATACGATCATCACCTGAGAGCTAGGGGGAGAAAAAAATAGAAAAGGGGTTGGGGTGCAAAATCAAGGTAATAATACGTCACGAGTCCCACACATGTTGTACGGCTATTTCACATGAATAATCATGACCCAAAGCGTGCCAAACTTTACTCATCGTTCCAAAACAAAACTCTACAGCGAATACTAAATTAGGTTTTCTCATATGAACAAGAGAATGAATGACCGTAAGTATAATTATCTACAATACAATTTCCTCACTTTCGCATGTACGATTAGAAATAATTACTAACAAGCATCCTTTCTCCGCGCACATGTATTTCTCGAGTAAGATTTTGGTATACATTGTCAATCTTTTATGTTAACAGTCAACGCAAAAGTCGTATTAGTATTGAGTAAGGTAATTCGGTGCATACGCTTCTTACAAGAGCAACACTACTCCGATTGACCCAATATCTAAAATCGTACGCATGTTAACGCCCAGACGACACACCTACATTCGATAACTGCAAATCCTTGCTTTCTAGTTGTGCATAACCCTATCCGATATTAAAAAAAAGTTATCAATATTAGTTTATCAAATAACGCACTGAACTTGGTATCAAAAAGCCAACGTTTTGTTCGGATGCTAAATTAAAATACCTCTTTTTAGATGACATTTTAAATGTTTAACAATATAAACAGGTTGCGATCATCATCTGACCGCATTTCTCGCCACTAATATAATATAACTAAATTTGTTTAGACTGCGTTAGCCTGATCGGAAACACACACCAATTAGAGTTATGAAAAGCAAGTAAATTCCGGAAATAGGCGTTTGGTTTAAAAATAATTTAATTCTTACTGAAATGGATAATAAAACCCCCGTTGTAATTTATTACTGTATTAAATTTATTAAGTTTGTTTTACATTCGTAACAAACGCGGTTACAGGATAAATTTTACAATATATTTCTCGAGTCCATGGTTCAAGATCAAAGTTTTAACATCTTCGTAAGCCTTGAAAGTCAAATTCATGACGTAAACAATGCGCGAATTATTCACTCAATTCCCAGTAATTACGTACACTATGCACAGAAGCTTGCTTCTGCATACTTTATTAAGCGATTAATTATTACAGCTCAAACACATGCATGATGAATATGACCAGCACATAATTCTATAAATGTACTATGAATACAGAAATGTCTCTAAGGGAATTGGAGAAGAAGATCGATAATAGGATCGTCGTATTGAGAACAGGTATCATGACAAAATTTTGATTCAATATCGTCCAAGAATCTGGACAAAGCGTTCTGAATGTTACTGTCAACGGTCGGCATCAAAAACTTTTTACGCTTTTTAAGAGACACGCCAACAGCACGAGCGGTGTCCGATACTGTTTCGTCGAGTGCAGTAAAGTATGCTCCGGTGTTACTAGCCAATTTTGTAAGTTCGGCCTGGATATTGGTAAAGATACGGTTCTTGATCTTCTGGATGTCATGACAGATAGCAGGCGGGTTACCACAAAGATATGTTTGCTTATCGCAATCACTTCGTGCCCACGGAACACCTTTCTTTGGCTGCTTAACGAGTTTTGGATGATTACAGTCACCCTTGTATCGAGGATTCTGTACGAATATAGACTTGAAAGCTAATTGTTGTAGACTGCCAACGAACTCGGTTTCTAATTGATCAACTTTTGACTTGGCAACATCCGGAACAGCTTTTTGAAGTTTCGAACCTTCGCCAACGTCATCGAAATCAACGCCTTGAAGGATTGTATTGGTGAGGTCAGTTTTGAATCTATCAAAAAATGGTTTAAGTTCGTCGCCGTATTTATCTCCGAATGCTTTCGATATTCCCTTCTGGCATTCTGCTTCGCATGCTTGGGTTGAAGAAAAGAGGAGAGACGAACCGATAAGGAGAGTGCTAATGATGGTGGTAAATCTCATTGTGAGGTGTTTGAAATTCGGAGGAGGGAAGGGCTTAAATATATATAATTTAGTTCGGAAAATTTCTTTCAGGTGACTAAATTATATTTAATGATAATAATCCTCTATATCGGATATTATTGGTAAGAAATGTTTCTAATGATTCCGTACGGTAGAAACAGCAACGGAAAATGGATCCATTTTATAAATGGCGAACGAAAACTGGAGTAAGAAATGTGTGACAATCGAAATTGGGTGGAAAAAACCAAAAATGGGCAGCGAAATCTACAGTTGGATGCGCAGTCGGGGAACAAACTAATTTTGTCAAACCTATGCTTTATGAGGCTAAGCCGAAATTGTATTAATCTTATTTCCCAAGTTTATTTTAGGTATTTTCTTTATAATTTACGTCATAAAAGGTAACCGAAGACTTTCTTTTCACCTGGATTATTAATTGATGATTAAAACAACTCACCGCCAATAACAATATACTATAAAAAGTCACATACCACTGCACTGTAATGTTGTAAACAATCGCTCGATTGTTTATCGAAAATAATCAAGTTACCGATCATGCGTTTATATTATCTTTATCGGAGTCAAAAGGACTTTCAAGAATCCATTTCTCAAAAACCATATCTCGATAATGCCAATTCTCTGCTTTATTATATTAGTCAAGACTGACAAACAACTCAATGTTGCTTATCTAATTTAAGAAAGTTAAAGAGAATAATCATCGGGATACGTTAAAGCAAACAAGAATTCCTTTATTTTGCTATTAATAAAGGTATACCGTAGGAATTGTAAGTCGAAATTTGTGCAAACACACATCTTAAACTTTGATAAGTGCAACCTTTGTCTTATCGAGTTTGCTTTATGCTGTTGGATGGTATGAATAGAATTCATTTGTGATACATAATTGTGTATCTCGGAGTATTCGATTTTAATTAGGACCTTGTATTCATAGTAGATCGCAAGTGAATACTATATATGGGTTAAAAAACCCAGGAAAGAATAATCGAAATCATACCCAATGTATTGGTGTCTATTTTTGGCATTATGAATAAATTTTCGGATTTTAAAAATTGCATCGTTGTTAGAGTGAGATTACCCTATCAAGACACACAGTTCCTGTTAAAGTAAATATAAATTTGTTCGTAAACATTGCAAATAGTTATTCATTATGTGTGATTATACCCTGCTGTTACTTGTCCTATATGAATGCAAAAATTCGGTATATGGTATTCGATTGTTGGTTATTGCATAGTTTTTATTGATAAGTTTATAATTGACATAATGAATAAATATGTGCAGAATAATATTAATGCAATATATAGACTACTTGTAACAATAAGTTCTACTTGTAACGTTTATAACATAGAAAATTTAAAATCTTCCAACTCCTTTTTAATTTTCTTCAGCCTATTGATATCTTTCTCACACCTGTCGCGATCATCTGTAATAGCTGGATCTTCTTCGATTAGCTCGTTTGGTTTTAAATGTCCGTTCGCGTTTTCAGTATCGTCAACAAAAATGTCACTAATCATAGAATTTTGCCAATCTTCCGAAAACTCAAAAACAAACTTATAGATTATCGTCATGCACACGTAATCCGTATATCTTCTTAGAGACAATTCATAATATGATTTTACATCAGCCACGACAGTCGCGGCCTCCGTATCATTAGGTACAAGGTTGATCAACTGGGACTGGTACACACTCTTGTTGCGTGTAATTTGATCATCTTCAGTATACGGCTTCTTAAGCTCAAGATCAGAAAATAATTCAATCAGTTTTTCGCAGCGCTCTTTACAAGATTCGAGCCGCTTCTTCGCACGCCCCTCCAAGAAAAGGCAAAGTTTCTTGTACTGTTTTGCTGAATTGCGGATAATTTGTTCAATTTCCTTCCAAAAAATATCAAATATTTTTTCGAGACACTGCGTTGAATGTTCTTTCCAATGACGTTGATATTTTTTGATTATGTCATTCGGTACTTTATAGGGGACTCTACTGGGAAGTTCGTGAGCCCTGTTTTTGTCAATAATATCCTTAATATTTGTTGTTTCCTTGAAAAATTCCTCACTACCTAGTGAACGTCTATTACTATGTTTATTTACCTGGATTTCGTAATCAAGCAATTATGTTAGCTAATTAGAGTTGCAATAGTCGAACTTGCGAAAGCAAAAACATAAACTGCTTACAATTGCCTTGGTGGTTACGACGATTGAATCATACTTCTTGTCACAGTTTTGTGTGGAAATATTTTCCAAAACATCGACAAGGAGCGCATGATTATTCGACTTTAAAACGAACAACGGTCTTCCATTTTTTATTGTTGTCTTGTACTCGTTCAGCTGCCCTCTCATTTTTTCCCACAAATTATCGTTTTTGTCATTCAATTCGGTTTCAGTGTTTTCAAGCTTGTGACGAATTGATTCTTTACACTTGTTTGTCACATTGCTGATTGCAGAGTGCGCATTAAGAGGAGGTGGCGGTAAATTTTTTAATATATTATTCTCCTGATAAAAAGCAAAAAAAAAAAATGTAGGCTATCGGTGGTGAATACTAACAGGAAGGAGTGGCCATATGCCAACTATTAATATCTTTATTCTCTTACCTTTTTTAATCTGTTACTTATCTTATTCGTAACTTCAGGAATACTTTCTCTGATTTTTTCTATGAGTAAATTTTCCAGCCTTGTCCTCAGTCTTTTTACCCCGAGTTTGTCTTTAAAAGTTGACGAACACCATGGTTCAGTGTTTTCAAACCACTATGATAAAAACACCATATTAATAAAAGTCGATCAAGCGTTTATTTCCTACTAATATTGGTGGCTTACCTGTTTCTCTTCCTCCCTAGCCTGGGTAAATGTTACTCCCTTGTTTAATTTTTCCTGATTTGGATTCATAACTACGAAATAGTCCGGTCCTGATGAATTTTGAAGTTTCGGTATCCATTTCCCATGCGTCTCAGGTTCAATGCGGTCTGGTTTTGTTAGCACAAACACCGTGCGTTTTTTGTGCCGATCGACTTCGTTTATTATGTTATGAATACTTTGATTTTCGTCTTCCTCTTTGCAAGGAATGGTAGCGACAATTATAGAATTCTGGTTTTTTACATAATTTCTAGCGAGTGTTTTTATCGTAGTAACAAGTTGCCGTGAAACTTCTGGATCTACGTTTCTAATGTGTTCTATTTAACGGCAGATAAATCAGAACTTCCTTACTTCAAACACGTCCATAATTCATGTTATGTGTAACTTACCCACAATTCCTGGTAAATCGACTAGACTTAAATTGGGAACGTTTGGTCCCTTAATAGACAAACAGACTGTATTCATCGTAAATTTAATTTCATCCTCTTCCTCTTTCGACTCATCAAGCGGTTCGTGATCGAGGTAAAGATCATGCTTTGTGCTTGGGTTGAGGAGCGCTTTTTGGGCACGATATGCCATTAAATGAACGTCACTTGGATCATGTATAGCTTCGCCAAACCCAAGATTTTTTCTGCGAGCATCTGGGAGCGGGTTGTTGTTTTCATCGTATTCTACACGCAGAGAGATACTGCACTCCCAACCGCTGGTTTTTGATGTTTCCTGCATGCGAATCTCCATTACACACCGAGTGCACGTACCATCCCGCCTTGGAAGCTAAGAGAAAAAAATATATATATGTTACATACGTAGGATTAAAATAAGTATAGTAATATGCGACGAGGTAATCTAATTAATGGTTTTTAACGAATATAGTATATCTATATGTTTCTTACATTACCTGAACATTAGCAATTGCTTCCAATAAGCTGGTCTTTCCAGCCGATTGATTTCCACAAAACACAACCTGGGGAAGTTCAACAAAATCTTCGGCAAAATTTTTTTTCAGATTACTAACAAGTTGAATATACTTGGCCGTGCGTTCTGTGTACGTCTTATTCATAAGTCTTATAGAGTCGTCATCTTGATTATTGTAATATCCACTAATTCGCGAGATGAATGCCATTGTGAAGAAGACAACAGTTGGTATTTTTTCTGGTAATGTCCAAGACCGAGTGAATTTCCTATAGACTTGACTGCTTCTTATAACTATGGCTACTTTTCTTTGTTTACTCTTTGGCGTATAAGAAATTCTCAAGATAATAATGCGGCCTTCCAATTAGATTCATATCTCGGGAATAACAGAACTGATAAGGGGGTTTAACCCGATTATCGTTGAAATTTGCCAAATTAGAGTATAATGACAGTTTTGCGTTTGTGATAAATTAGATGGTCACACACCCCTAAAAGATGAATGAATGTCAAACGTAACGAACTAGATGATAACGGTATGTTTGAGGTTTGTTTGTAATAAAACAAACGTTGTGCGTTTATTGACAGTTTCATTCTTTCAGAATTAATACACGAGACTAGACAATAATGGTATACTCGTTGATAAAACAATATTCGAGTAATGGAATCTTCTACGCATATAATAAATTTCGTACTACGGATCGCTCACTGATACAGTTAGAGCACTTTTTCTCATTATTGTTCAACAAAGATAATGACAACAAAGTAACAGTAATAATAGACAAATTCGGAGTAGTTTATGATAGCAAAGACAAATGGTAGAAGGAACAAAAGACGGGATTATTAATTAATTTCTGGTTTTTCAATGGCTAGTCAATTAACCGGATCTTTCTCGATTTTAACTAACAGGACAGGTCGTTTGTTTGTCGGTTTTTTTGAAAGTATATTTTTGTTTACTTTGCGTAGTTTGTAATCCTCCATAAGCACGTAGTCAAACTCGATAAAATAAAGTCACTCTAAGGAAAATTTTTTTCTCGCTCCAAATTTTTTGTATTAAAAATATCTCAATTTTAATTTGTTGTAAACCTCGATGAAACCGTAAAAGGATTCTCTCACGCTTTTCACAAATGAATTCTGTAAGTCGAATATCTTTAAATTCCATTTAAAGAATATGGGTTACCGAACAATCTCATTCTTTATTTCAAAGACCATGAATACCACCCACCTGGTTTTTCTGCTAAGGATAAACGCTAGAATATAATTTGTCAGATCAATTACGAGAATACTTTGACGAGACTACAAAAGAAGAAACTCACATCGGAGTATTGACTGTCATGAAACACCTGTATTTCCACCAATAGTAACCATTGTGTTGATGCTGCAGTATACTGTATACTGTAACTTCGATAAAATAAACCCTCTGTAACTTACACCATAGTTTGACTATGCACATACAGGACTTCTTCGCAACATATACCGGAACAGGTTACGAAAGTACAGTATAATGCTTATATTTTAACGCAGGGGTCAAAAGAAAATTATTAACCATTACAACATTATGTTTAAAAAATATGATGAGTGAAACTTTATTAATCTTAATATTATTCAAGATTTGTAAGAAACAATTGCCCAAGTTGATGCGATAAACAAACATACACGTATTTTATTAATTGATACTCATGTGCATGTACATATCACTATCTAATAGGTAACCACGTATATGATTGCCAAGATATGAAAGATTGTTCCTATCATTATAATAACCTGCTGCCTGCATTACCACGGTTCGAGACATGCCCGCTTGCTAAATTTTGCTCCATGCATTAACCTTCTCAAACGAATACATAAATTGGACTGCAAGCGGATTTCGACAACTTTTCAGACTGGACAAAAGTAATGGCGGTGGTACCCGATTTTGATTTTGTTGATAGCATCGTTTACTAACACCAATTTGAGCAGTACAACAATAATTTAAAATATAAACAATAAAACGCATTTGTACAAATTGTCTTTGCCATATTTTTAATTTTCAAATAACGTAAACCTGTTTTCACACACGTTTCGATTGCTGTATATAGTATGATATAGTATCATAATGGGATTTGTTTATTTCCCCGACAATTCCTGTTGAAGTTATCTTTGAACAAATATCAAATGGGAAATGGCTGACTGTAAAAATTAAATGTTTGCGCCTGTAAATAACCTAGTGCCGAAATATTGTTGTCGGGAAAATAAACTGTCGGGAGACCCGATAAGCCGCGATATTTACATTATAAAAGGTAAGCCGAAGATTTTTTTTTTACTAACCCAAAATAATACGTTTTTACGTGAATGGTATCGATTGATTCGTCCTGTAATTAAAACAACTCACCATCTGTATACTTGCGTTTAATTATAAAAATACACGTATGACTGCAATAATCGCTCGAAATAATCAAGTTACCGATTATGCGTTTATTTTGCCTTCCTCGAAGTCTGAAGGAGTTTCCATTTCTCATAAATCGACTTTTGAGCATGTCAATTCTCTGCTTTATCATATTAGTCAAGATTGTGAACACAACTATCTAGTTAAAGAAAACAACCATCAGAATACGTTACAGCAAACACATTTATAAAGTTTATACCACAAGCATTGTAGGTCGAAGTTTGTGCAAACACATATCTTAATGCGAGCTTTAAAAATCTCGATAAGTGCGACCTTTGGTCTTATCGAATTTACCTTATGGATGTCATATGAATTTCCCGTCGTATGAATAATATTTATTTGTGATACGTAACTTTGTATTTCGGAATATTCTATTTTAATCGGGATTTTGTATTCATGTGCTAGAAGGGTGACAAATAAGTTCTATTTATGACATATAGTAAGTAAATGTTTCCAACTCATTTTTCATGTCCTTTAGTCTATTGATAGTTTTCTCCCAACTGTCGCGCTTTTCTGTCATAGCCGGATCTTCTTCCACTAGCTCTTTCGGTGTGAA